TAATTTATATAGATATTTAATTTACATGAAATAAAACAATATATTATTAATTAACTATTAATATTTATTATGACGGTTACGAATGTATTAATAATAATATTAACTTTAATAATATTTGGTTTTGTTCATGTAAATTAAATATCTCTATTAATTATATACATATATATATATATATATATATATTGCTTATATATAATAAAATATATATACATATATATAAGTAATAATAGTAATAGTAATAGTAATAGTAAAATTTTGTAGTAAGATTTAAATGAAAAAACTACGCGATATAAGGTATTAAAATATTTACAAATTTTATGAAAATGTAAGTCACCTAGCTAAGCTTTTAAATAATATTTTAATTAATGAATAATTCAATAAGAACGAAACAGAAAATATTTCGATTAAATCTACCTAAACTCAATAATATAAACATATTCTACAGTATATACTAATTAGATAGATAATAATAATATTATAAAAATGAAAAACAATAGAAAAGAGTATCTTGATTTCACCTAGAGGCCGTCTTTTTGCTACCCGTGCTCCACTGCAATTGGCAGTATTTTATAAGTTAAGGCACGTTCCAGTGGTCAGGCCTTACTGCTCTGCCTTACTGCTCCTACTGCACTTACTGCTGGCAGTAATTCCGCTCCACTCAGCCCACGGCTGGACTCGAGTTGCTGTTCTGCAGTCAACTGCTTTAGCCGCAATGAAATCTCCAAATTTATTTGCTGAGCACAGCCAAAAAAGCGCAAATAAAAATATAAATAAGCCGCTGGATCTAGTCGAGCATGCTCGCTTAGCTGATACTCTGTAGGCAGGGTATGATGCCTGCTGAATGATTTCTGTGCTAAACAAAGGATAAAGTCATGTGCATTCGCCTAATGGCAACAGCTCACAAATCAAAAATTGTGTTTTAAATTTATATTCGGGCATAAATCATAAATTGAAGACGAAACTTGACTTGAAATTCTTTTGGAAATATTAGTTTAATTATAGCCAACTAAGCAAAGGCTTTGTACACCGAAAAACATGGCCAGCAAATTGGCAGCTCATATTCAAAACTGAAAATCAAATTCAAGAAGCATAAAGTCCTAAACTCCGCACCCCGAAGTTTTAATGCCCTTTTTAGGCGAATGAGAGAAATTCTTTAATCGGACTATTTACGATATTATGCGGCTTTGCAGTTTTGTTTGATGAGAAATAACTAAAAATGTTGGCCTAAATTTGAAAAATATAATATAAATAAGAAATTAAAATAAAATTGTTTCTGAATTTAGCAAAAATTTTCTTCTTACCAAAAAGTTTTTGGTAAAAAATTCTAACTAAAAACTATGAGAAATAATTTGTTTTAAATCAGGAAAGTCTCGTAAAATTAAAAAAAAATTATTTCTATTTGTTGTTCACGTTTAACTGAGCCTCAGAAAATCTCGAAAATATGAACTTGGGTAAGAAAATCAAGAGAATCAAAACAGATTTTCAAAACAAGAACTTTCTTTTTGACAGATCGTTCACATGGCAGCTTTATGCTATAGTCCTTTGATCAAGGTAGCATGATGCGTTACACATTTGATGGCAGAAATCGAATAAGAAGCATAAGAAGCAAAGCCAATTGCAAAGTGAATGGAGAATCCTTGCTGCTGATGCACAGGCGCTAAGAGTCCTTTGTGGCCTGCCCATCAGCAGCGAAAATTGAATTATGAGCCAACCGTCTTGGCCGTCTTGGTCATCATTGGGCCATCATCATATGCTCGTACTAGCCCGGTTTTTCGTCGGCTAACTTGATTACAAGTTGCAAATGTTTATTCAATTTGCATTCTCAATTAAATGCGGACTTTGTTTTGTGGCTCGTAATTGCATTTGGGTCACGTCCGCCTCCAAGCTTTTGTTGTTGTTGTTGCTGTGCACAACTATTTGTCGCAGGATCAATTTACTTGGCCTCTGTCCCAGCTGACCCTTTCATTTGATGGCACTTTTCGCAACGCCCACTTTGCAACTTCCTCTGCATAATTTGTAATTTTGCTTGGACTTTACTTACAGCCAGTAAATTGTGAACTGGAACTGTCTTTCGGATTTTCGCATTGGCTTTGGCTTTGGCTTTGGCTTTGCCTTTGGCTATGACTTTGGCTGATTGGCCAGCAAAAGTTTTGCCCGGCCGCAGTGTCGCCAAGGCGTTGCCATCATGTGCATGTGTCCTGCGCCTCCAGCAACAACGTCCTGTGGCCGATGAAAGGACACGTCAGATGCTCGGCTGATTACATTGGCGAACCACTGCCCCTGCCCCACCCGTTGCCGCTGCCCCAGCCTCGCGTCTTGGAGTCGCACGAAAAGTTTACGTATGATTTGCTTGGAAAATTGCATTTTGCGGTTTTGCCAAAAGCCCCAAAAAAAAAACCTTAACACACAACGAAATCCCCCTCCCCAAGCGAGGGCGGGACTCAGTTCCTAGTCCCTGCTCTGGCCCAGATTCGAATATTTGCACTTCTCAGACAGCATTATTAGCTGCACATGCCACATCCGCTGCCGGTTCTTTTGATGTGCCATTTGCACTTAAAAACCATTTGGTTGGACCGCAAATTGTATTTGCCAATCGACCCAAATGCCTTTTAAATATTTCCCAAATACCGCCTTGTTCATAATATTGCGTTCTTCCTTGCGCCTCTTAACAAATTAAAAAGACAAATAAAACTTGTAAGCGGCTGCTGCTGGAGTTAAACCACCGACCTGCTGCTTGCTAGTAGTATACATAGATGCATACAAAAATACATACATACATACATACATACATACATACATACACACATACATACACACATACATACATACATACATACATACATACATACATACATACATAAATACATACATACATACATACATACATACATACATACATACATACATACATACATACATACATACATACGTACATACGTACATACATACATACATACATACATATATATATATACATACATACATATATACCTACCTACATATATACATACCTACATGTATACCTTCCTACATACATATATACCTACCTACATGTATACCTTCCTACATACATATATGCCTACCTACATACATATATACCTACATACATACATGTATATGTACATACATACATATAAATGTACAAACATGTGTACATACAAAAAATATACAAAAAAAAAACCAAAAAAAAAGTCACTACACTACTAGCTAAGCACGAAAAACTGCAGAGCCTACTTGAATTCTTGAGAATCGAGGAGTAGAGCACTTGGTAGAAATGCGTTTTATTTAAATTTGCAGCACAGCGACAAATAAGCTTGGCCTGCGTTTGGTGTTAAAAAACAAACTTGCTTGCATACATATGTACATAATTGCATACAAACATGCATGCATACACTAACACACATACGCCCACATACATACATACACACAAACACCCAGCCATGAGGCAAGCGTCACCATAAATACTTCTTAAGGCAAACTTCCAAAAAAAATATATAGAGACCTATATGTATATATACTTCAAAGACTTCAAAAACTCAACCGATTTTCACAAGGTTTGGTTCTTTGTTCATGGGTTGGTCTCTATATCAATTTGGCATCTAAGTCTGGCAACATTATTCTTGGTCAAAATGCACGTGAAAATGGGACCCTCTCACATCCTATATAGACATAGGTCAAAATTTCCCACCCCCATAATTCTGCTTGGAAGTCGAAAGAAAGCTTTAGTATAAATTTCAGCCTTGCCAAAAGTCCAACCCAAATAAAAATAACTTTGGGCGTGGCTCAGCATACATTGAACATTACATTTAACTAAACTTCATTGTGAAAAACTAATATGTGCCAAATTTTGGTAATAGATCTAATGTAGCCCGCAATTTCTATATGAAAATATTTACGATTGGCAATATTTTCAGCAGAACGGGCAATTATATATATAAAATTAAGAAATACATATAGTCAAGTTGGGAACAAAGAAACCTAGATCCAGAATGTCGGCGCAAATGTGTGCTTTTTCAATTCGCATCAATAATTCCACAGAATTTTCTTAAAAAAGCAAAAAGTTATCAATTTTTTTAAATACTTGTCAGATTTATTGAGATAGCAAACATATTGAACATATGCAACTCTTGTGGTTGTTGTTGTTATTGTTATTTTGGCTTCTGCTGCTGTTCTCCAAACAACCCACAATGCTAGTTAATTGTATTATTATTAGCATATATATGTATACAGTAAATGTACATAGCTAATTATATTAGGGACAATAAAAAATAAACAAAAAAAAGACACTACGGCGGCAAAATCTTATCACATGACAGTTATGATATAATATATACATATATATATATATATGTAATTATATATATATGTATATGTGTGTATGTATATGTATTTGTTTTGATATATCGCTAAAGAACATTATGCATAGATAATGCCTAGAGTATGCTGCTAAGTATTTGGTCACATTGTCAAAACCAAGGTAAAAATATAAAAAAAAATATGTTAATCAAGAATATATCTACGCATATTTGTATAATAAAATATACTTAATATGTGAGTAATGTGTGTGTGTGTGTGTGTGTGTGTGTGGTGCGCCGTAGCTAGCGTTCACTGTACGGTATATATCATAATGTACATGCGTCTAGTTATTAGCATTAACTTAGTCTACTGTCTTTTTGGTAAGTATTTTGCTTGTTTGCTGAATTCGACTACAAGAAATGTTCGCGTATCGAACATTTTGTTTAACAATAAATAAACATTAAAATAAGCACAAAAAAAAATAAGGGAGCAAGACACAAAAATAAGAACAGAATTATTACAATAAATGATTGAAAATGTCCAAATATATATATATATATCTATATGTATATATATTTGTGAATTAATATTAATTGATAGCGCTTTTCCTATGCGGCGCACAATTTGTGTGATGTTTTCCTTGGAATTGTTGTCTGCAGCTCTGTTGTTGCACATCTCTCTCTCTCTCTCTCTCTCTCTCTCTCTATATATAAATTTATATATATATATATATTTATATTTAACAGACAAGTCGCTCATTAGCAGGACGAAATATACGCTCATAGTTCTCAATTAGCACCTTGGCTAGCATATTCATTCGCCCGATATCGAAATTGATATCGTTCGCAGCCAGCAAGCAGGGTCCCCAGACAATGGCCAGGTTGGAGGCAGGCATCCGGTTCGAGCTGCTCGACGCTGCAACGCTGTGTGAAGGAAGGTTAAAAACAAAGGCTTCATTAATACAAATCGAAGTAATTATCTATTGCTTCTTTGGTTTAATATTTCAGCAAACTAATTGGGTTATGCGCCTCGGCTGCTCTCATTATATTTACACATCAATTAGACTATAAACAGTGTCAAGTCATCTGTCTCCGACTGCTGCCAAGGATATCGAGCAGACATGCTGCTCTTTCTGGCCTTGGGCCAGCTGCTTACATTTTCGAAGACTTGATGCACAGACCGAGACAATGTCTGTTCGATCATGTAAATAACATGTTAAATTAATAACCGAAATCTACAGAAATTCTCGAATTTGTAGTATGTGCTGCATTCAGCCGCAGCTACTTCTTAAAATTGTCGAAATATGCAGCTTATCGAGTTTATTGTAAAGTTGAGTGGAATTGTTGCTACACGAGTTCATTGTAAATTTAACATGAAGTTTTATCGAATGGCTGCTACTCGTGTTCATTGTAAATTTGAGTCAAATTGTTGCCTAATCGAGCTCACTGTAAATTTAACTTGAATATTTATTTAATAGCTGCGAGCTGCAGCGAGTCATGTTAACTGTAAAACATGCAGTTTCTTTAAATTGCTGAGAAATGCAGTTTATCAGGTTCGTTGTAAATTTAACATGAAATTTGATCAAATTGCTCCTCTTCGTGTTCATTGTAAATTTAACATGAAGTTCTATTAAATTGTTGAGCTCATCATGTTCATTGTAAATATAACATAAAGTTTATTTAAATCGCTTCATTTTTAAACTAAGATGATGTTTTGTCAAATCGCTGCGAAATGCAGCAACTCATGTTCATTGTTAATTTAACATGCAGTTTCTTAATGGAGCTAGTCATGCTCATTGTAAACTTAACATGCAGCTACTCATCTTCATTGCATACTTAACATGAAGTGCTATTAAATGGGTGCAAGCTGCTACTCATGTTCATTGTAAGTTTAATAAAAAGTACTACCAAATTATCCTCATGATAACTATGCAATATTTAACAAAGCAACATTTCGTATCTTTGCCGTGCAAATCTGTCACTCTTTTGTCTTTTATTATGTTCTGTTTTTTGAGCATTCACAAAAGATCTATCAACAGCTTTGAACTGGGCACTCACTTGGTTAAATGCTTGATGAGGAACCGTAGCGTAGAACGATTCGGTTCGGGCATCTCATCGAAGGCCAAACGCATCCGCTCGATGGCGGCATCATCGGTGAGACACCGTCCCAGTCGCTCGTAGGCCTCCTGTGTGATCAGCGGGGCGGGCAGCTCGCGAAAGAACTGCTTATGGAGGCTGGTTAGCGTGTGTATGTCATCAGTCTGCAGGCAGCGTGGATCGTAGAGGTGGGTCAGCTTGCGTTTGAGCTCATCGACGAGCAGCTTGTTGCCGCTGGCGCGATAGATGCCATCCTGTTCAATGCAATCGGCACGCTCGATGTGGGCGCAAACGTCGACAACGAAGCGCGGCACATACGGATGATCGGACATGTTCAGCTCCAGGGCATTCAGACGGGCCCCAAACAGCGGATACTTGGACTGTTCGTCCAAACAGAGGCTATTCACTTGGCTGCGACGTGTGCGCGACTTCTTTTCGCTCTTCGGCGATCGATTGCTGCAAACGGGTGCGATGTGATTAGTTGGCCGATATATATAAAATATATATGTATGTATGTATGTATATTATAAGTGATACTCACAGTCGGAACACATTGCTGTTGACTGCAACTGCAGCGTGCAACGTGGGGCAGCATTCCGATTGTTGGCAACAACATGAAAAGAAAACAAATCGCAAACGGAATTAGCATAAAATTGCGCTTTGGTGAAGGCGGCTAAAAACTTGGCCTACATTCTGCAAAGCGTCTATCCATCTGTCTCGCTTACTCTCTCTCTCTCTCTCTATCTATCGCTCTGCCTCCCTCTCTCACGCTCGCCGACCACCCACAATGATAATAATTATATTATCAGCAAACAACTCGGTTAGCTACCTGAATATCTACTGGCATTGGCGACTGCCATTCCAACTGCTACTGCTACTGCGACTGCGATTGCGACTGCGACTGCGATTTGTAGTTTTATATTATTTAACGCCTGCATTCGATACACCTTGTTTGGGCATGCGGCCGTTTTTGCATACGGAATCTGAGCGACTGGAATAGCAAAGCTGACAAAAAAAAATCATAAATAATTCCCAACTTCCAAGATTCCCCGCAGTGAATCATTTTGTCACTCACTGTAATTCCCCTGCATACAATGGAGAAACAAAAGCAAAAAAGTGAAACCCGCGAGACTTTCATTAACTAAAACAGACGCAGCTACAAATTGAGAGAGTTGGAGCGACAGAGAGAGAGAGAGAGAGCGAGAGAGAGAGAGAGAGGCATGAGACACCTGCCCTGCCCCCTTGCCAACTCTGCGCTCCATTAACCGAACAATTCAAGCCGCATTCCATGATTCGAATTCGCATTCGCATTCCCAAATTCCAATTCCATTCAAAGCTGTCTGTTTCTATATCTAAGTGTGTGCGCGTGTGTGTGTGCGCGTGTGTGTGCATGTGTATGTGGGCGCATGTGCCGCCTTTTAAGGCCAAGCTGTTCGTTACCAATTTGGTTGGGGAAACTTGGACTTGGCATTTATCAACGGGGCAGACATCGGGGCGCCCTGCCACACGGAGCGGGCCACCACGTAGCAGAGGCGTCTGTCAACTCGCTTAAAGCCCGATCCAAGGCGTCTGTTAACTAGTTGCTTGTTTTGACCCACTAAGCTAGAGAATTGGCCAGCAGCCAGTTAAGTATAGCACATATTTGAGTTGCATATGTCATATATATATATATATATATATATAGACTATTACGATCTTCGATTCGGTTTTCAGAAAAATAAAATATATAACAAATGTGAATTGAGAGTTAAATTGAGAGTTGAGTAGAGCTAATCAGACTAATGTATATCATTAATATATTAATTAATTATTAATTTGGGACACAGACACAGACACAGACAGAGACAGAGACAGACACTTACATTTCATGCGCATGCGATTCTTGATGGACTTCTTGTCATCCTCGCCGGGCAGATCGACAAGATTGCCAATGGAGGCGCTCTTGAAGCGCTGCAATATGGTCGTCTGCTGGGACTGCTGCACCTCGCTGTCCTCCTGGATTTGCTGGGCACGCAGAATATCAGTCACTGGCACAATCTGGAAGCACAAGACACGCAACACGCACATAAATATTTAAGAAAAACCAAATACAAGTAAACTGAGAAACTGATGCAAGATGCAATTACTATCAGATACGTGGCAGCGCGTGGGCGTTACCGGGGGCGGGGGTGGGGGCGGGAGCGGGGGCGTGGGGGGCTACGTGCTGTCTGACATGCGATTGAGATACAATTTGAGCAACGGCTGCAAATTAATTGCAGCTTTTCGTGCTGCTGTCGCCCGGCGCTGATTTAATATCTATATCAATGTATATATATGTATGTATATTTAGCTGATGCTTGATTTTTCTCGATTTACGTGTCTGCCTTTTATTTAGTCGTTGTTGCTGTTTTTTTTTTTTTTTATCAATTGTTTCTTGTTGTCGTCTCGCTGCACGCTCACCGTTGTTAGTCGACGCTTCGATTTGCCTTTGCCAGTCATTTGTTATCTCTTGCTTGCGCGCACGCCCCGGAAAACGCAAGAACAAAATACAAATTACAAAAACGAAAAAGAAAACGAAAACGAAAACGAAAAGACACACAAGTTGATAAGAAATTGAATTCGATTTGCTGGAAAAGCAAGAGCGACGCGTGCAATGCCAAACGCAAACGGTTAATGTGCCCAAGATAACGAAATGTAGAAAAGTGTTCGAGCATTTCACGATTTTGTTGTATTTATCGTCGTATCTATAGCCGTAAGTTCTGTCCGATCCGATCCGTATCGCTCCCGCTCTCCCACTCTCCCGCTCTCCCGCTCTCTCGGCTCGCCTGGCCTGGCGCTTTTCATAAGTATTTTCTGATATTTTCTTACACATTATACAACTCGTCTCTGCTCGCCCGCTGCCCGCTGCCGGCTGCCCTCTGCCGGCTGCCCTCTGCCGGCTGCCGGTGGCATAAACAAAGCGACACCACCGCAAAACCTGTAGACGGCCGTCTGCCGGTACGCAGCACAGCCCGGGGCAGCTGGCTAGAAACGAAATCTATATGCGTCCCGTCTATATGCCGCAGCAGCAGCTAAATCAGCTGTAAACACGAGCACAACAAACAGCTTGGTGGCAGCTTGAGTTACTTGCACCGGGCGCGGTGGCGTCTGTGCCAGTCGTACGCACAACTAAATTTTGTTGCACACCCACACCCACACACACACACACACACACACACCCCCACACAGACACACGGACGTACTCAACATTAACGAGCTTGTTTAGCTAGACGAATAGATTTCGCATTCCAGGAACTTGGCCAAACAGCTGCTGTTCCGCTTGTGCCGCAGCCAAATGTTAATATCATTTTTATAGAGCAACTGTCACGATTCAACGATAACAAAAACATATAAATATCAAAAGAGAATACCCTACAAAACACGCATCACTTTTCAACTCGTTTAAAATATACAATAATTATAATATACATATATAAGTGTATGAGATAAGTCGAGAATTGAGAAAAACACAAATCATATTAAAACTAGAAAGAACGCAGTTTATATAGAAAGATGTCTATAAATGTCCATCTATCTATCTAAACTGGTTCAAATCGAGCTATATATATGAACCAGTTTTGCAGACATGTTTGATATCTTGTTAAACAGAAAAGTTTTCTATAGAGAAAACCTATTTTTTCAAACAATTGCAGCTATATGCTAGCTTTAGCTTATGTTAAATTTTTTCAATTAGAAAAACTTATTTATCAACCCATTATAGACATAATAGAACTATATTCTAGATTTTGCTCATACTTAAAGAGCATAACACTCAGAGATAACAAATTAGGCCAATATTTCTTAAACAGAAAAGAGTTTCTTATACTAGAACTATATTATCTGAACCATAACTGCTATGGCAGCTATATGATAAAGTGATCCGATCAGGTCGATTCCGATATATATAGTGTCTGCAACAGAAAGACGTAACAAGGCAAGGTTGCGTGATGTTAGTCTGAAAGACTAGTTAACATAGAAGCGGATAAGCGATCGACCAATCAAGAATATATATCCTATATATCTGTTTAATAATTCCGATATTTATCTTGGTTTAAATCTGTCTTATAGATATCAATAAATACACAAACTTGATATGCTAATAGTATTCCATAGTTATGTAGTTGCTCAGACTGAAGAATATCTCTAATGTGCCACTCAAGAATATATATATTGTATATATAGATATATCTTTAGGGTGCACACAAATAGTAATATAGGGTGCACACAAAAAGGGGCCACAATCCGCTTGCAATTATGTTATTTAATCCCACTGTAACTATTCGTTTAAGCTGCGCTGTTTTTTTCTTATTCTCTTTGCAAATTCTAAATTAAACAATAAAAAGTGCTGTAGTCAAGCGTCACCGACTAAGAGATACCCCGTAGCTAACTACGAATCCCCTACATGTCTATTTATTGATTGTTATCATATTTTAATATGCTAAAATCAAAAAATAATAATAAAAAGCTGCGTATAGACAGAATTAAATATCAATTATGTTAAACAAAAAACCCAAACTAATCGATTTATCGAAAAAAAATCAAAATAGAAAACTGCGTAGGATATACGAGAAAGTTTTCTCCAATTTTTGGTCATAAGTTTTTCAAATATTTCAAGATCGAGGCATTTATATTGACAGAGCATCACAGATCTGATCAGCCATAGAATTGTGTATATAAATTATGGGATTGCGGATGCGTTCCTCAGGCTGTTACATACAGCCTCTATGCGACCTTATACCCCTTACGAGCCATTTCATGGGTACAGGGTATAACAGCGCTCGATTAAACTCTAATTTTATTTTGCTTAATTTGTTATTGTTGCTTTTGTTTGTTTGTGCATAAACAAAAAGGCAAATATTGCGTAGTTGCTGCTTTATGTTGTTGTTGTTGTTGTTGTTGTTGTTGTTGTTGTTGTTGTTGTTGTTGTTGTTGTTGTTGTTGTTGTTGTTGCCGCTTTTGTTGTTGCTGTTGTCATTGTTTTTGCAATTAGTGCGGCGGCTGCCGCTGAGCGCGCTTTTGGGCATGTTTAGAATATGCGCGGCATTAGTTGCTGCTGCTTTTGGGCAACAGCTCGCAAATTTACAAACTCGCACAAATGAATCTTTGGCTGTATCCACATATTCATATGTATCTGCATTTGCATCTGTATCTGTATCTGTGCGGCAAACGAAAATAGAATTTTTATATGCGCTGCACGAACAATTTTTGCGCCCTTGTTATTGTTGTTATTTTTGCTATGTTGAAATTATTTGTTCTTTTATTTATATTTTTTTTTATATTTAATTGATTCAGCCTTGGCGTGTGGCAACATATGTAAGCCTGTATCTGTATCTGTATCTGTATCTGTATCTGTATCTGTATCTGTATCTGTATCTGTATCTGTATCTGTATCTGTATCTGTATCTGTATCTGTATCTGTATCTGTATCTGTATCTGTATCTGTATCTGTATCTGTATCTGTATCTGTATCTGTATCTGTATCTGTATCTGTATCTGTATCTGTATCTGTATCTGTATCTGTATCTGTATCTGTATCTGTATCTGTATCTGTATCTGTATCTGTATCTGTATCTGTATCTGTATCTGTATCTGTATCTGTATCTGTATCTGTATCTGTATCTGTATCTGTATCTGTATCTGTATCTGTATCTGTATCTGTATCTGTATCTGTATCTGTATCTGTATCTGTATCTGTATCTGTATCTGTATCTGTATCTGTATCTGTATCTGTATCTGTATCTGTATCTGTATCTGTATCTGTATCTGTATCTGTATCTGTATCTGTATCTGTATCTGTATCTGTATCTGTATCTGTATCTGTATCTGTATCTGTATCTGTATCTGTATCTGTATCTGTATCTGTATCTGTATCTGTATCTGTATCTGTATCTGTATCTGTATCTGTATCTGTATCTGTATCTGTATCTGTATCTGTATCTGTATCTGTATCTGTATCTGTATCTGTATCTGTATCTGTATCTGTATCTGTATCTGTATCTGTATCTGTATCTGTATCTGTATCTGTATCTGTATCTGTATCTGTATCTGTATCTGTATCTGTATCTGTATCTGTATCTGTATCTGTATCTGTATCTGTATCTGTATCTGTATCTGTATCTGTATCTGTATCTGTATCTGTATCTGTATCTGTATCTGTATCTGTATCTGTATCTGTATCTGTATCTGTATCTGTATCTGTATCTGTATCTGTATCTGTATCTGTATCTGTATCTGTATCTGTATCTGTATCTGTATCTGTATCTGTATCTGTATCTGTATCTGTATCTGTATCTGTATCTGTATCTGTATCTGTATCTGTATCTGTATCTGTATCTGTATCTGTATCTGTATCTGTATCTGTATCTGTATCTGTATCTGTATCTGTATCTGTATCTGTATCTGTATCTGTATCTGTATCTGTATCTGTATCTGTATCTGTATCTGTATCTGTATCTGTATCTGTATCTGTATCTGTATCTGTATCTGTATCTGTATCTGTATCTGTATCTGTATCTGTATCTGTATCTGTATCTGTATCTGTATCTGTATCTGTATCTGTATCTGTATCTGTATCTGTATCTGTATCTGTATCTGTATCTGTATCTGTATCTGTATCTGTATCTGTATCTGTATCTGTATCTGTATCTGTATCTGTATCTGTATCTGTATCTGTATCTGTATCTGTATCTGTATCTGTATCTGTATCTGTATCTGTATCTGTATCTGTATCTGTATCTGTATCTGTATCTGTATCTGTATCTGTATCTGTATCTGTATCTGTATCTGTATCTGTATCTGTATCTGTATCTGTATCTGTATCTGTATCTGTATCTGTATCTGTATCTGTATCTGTATCTGTATCTGTATCTGTATCTGTATCTGTATCTGTATCTGTATCTGTATCTGTATCTGTATCTGTATCTGTATTCACGAGCAAAAACACAACTGAAAGTAAGAAACAAACCAAACAAAGGCGACGCATTTGACCCGTTAGACGTTTTGTTTTGACTGCGCGTATTGTTAAAGTGTTATTTGCACATCTATTTTTTACAGGTATATTGCTTTAAGTGTTGCGGTTATCAACCGGGCCCCCATAAGATGTCTCATGGACACCGTGTTAATGGAGCCAAGAGATTGTCTATAAGCCACATATCCAATTGTTACCAAGTGTCGAGCTATGTGTTGACTTAACATTGCGTAGGCAAAGTCAATGCAACACAATAGCCAAACATCCGCTCGGCTCAATGATATTGCAGCTAACCTTAGCTATATCTAAGCTGTATGCATACATACATGAGATGATTTCAAAACACAATCCGTTCAAATTGAAGCCTAGCCATGAGCACTCGCAACAAATACTCAGTCAGGGCCAAACTTATCAGCAGTGTTTCTTGTTTTTTGCTTTATGCAAACATAAATGAGGTTTAACGAATTTAAATAAATATTTATATTTGATGCAATATATAAAAATATATAGCTAAGTGTTTTTTTATTCCATAAAAGTCCTATTCTTATTGTTTCTAACCGTAACAATTAATCGCATCTTTATGATATATAATCAGTTCGTTTGTTTTAGACTTAGCTTTAAAAAAATAGGAAAGATAATTGTGTAAGACAATAAGATAAACTATGGTATGGTTCTATGGTTCTTCATATTGTGAAGAAATGCATAGTATATTATATCTGTTTATTTATATATGTATATCAGTCTATCTATCTATCTACAAATATATCTATTATCTATAGATCTATGTATCTATTTATTTATTTATCTATCTATCTTATACATAGCTATCTATCTACCTATATATCTTTTAGTCATCCAGTAATTCATGAACTATATTTAAATATGTTTCTAAAAAATAAGTAAAACTATTATGAAAATATAAATTTATACATTTAGATAAACGTCAGCAGATGGTGGAGCCATGTGTAGAGCCAATCCGATAATGTTGGGTACGTGACATTAGTTTAGCCATAAAAATAAAATAAGATTTCAGCTTTTGAGCATTGGGATAAGCAATATTTTAAGCAATTCTCAAGCTCTGCTCGTAATATCCGGCCATTTGTTTATGGGACCCAAGGCCCGTTTTTTACGATAAAAATAACAAAATTTGAAAAAAATGGAGAAAATGAGGGAAAAGGCGCTCTGTCGATGGCTTTCAAGAGGCGCAGCCCACCTATAATTATGTAAAAGGTGAGCACAGAACAGACCCGGTCGCGAGCCCAAAGTCGAAATCGAACTCGAACTCGGCGAGTTTACAAAAATATTTGACTAATGATTAACCAATTAAATGCTGATAAATGCGAGTAGCAATACGCTGGCGATGACGAGGCCGACGCGCTTCGTCGCTGAGGGGTGTGGTGCCGGGGGCAGGGGGCGTGGGGCAGAAAATTAACGACAGCATAAAAATGAGAAACCGGTTCCGAAAAAGTTGCTGGCAAAAACCTAAAAACTTGCCGACTTGTGTATGCAAAAATAATTGTCGCTGATAGCAGAGCGGGGCGTTGGAGCGCAGGAGAGAAGGAGGAGTGGGGGGGGGGGGGAGGGGGCTGGCAAGAGAGGAAGGGAACGATATGTGAATCAACTTTTGGGGTACCGAGTCTCTCAGCCAAATTCCAAAGAATTTCTCATGCAACGGCAAATGCACCAAATGCAAAAGGGAAATAATAAAACAACAACAATAACAAATAAAATGCAAAGAAAAACGTGAGAGGCAAATAAATAAAAATACATTATGCAAAAGAAAAAAATACAAAATAAAATGAAAATAAAAACAACAACAACAACAACAACAGCATATGATATAAACAAAGCGCCATAAAATTACGACTAACGCGAAAAGCGCAAGAACTTTCGAGTCGCCGGCCAGAATACACTCTCGCACAAAAACTTGAAATCTTAGGGAGTATAGATAATAATAAGATTACCTTAAAATAACATAGTTTTTGTTTGAATCGAAAATTTATTTTCATATACTTTTTAGTATAAACCGAATCTTATAACAAACCTATTGAAAAAAAAGCCAAATAAAACTTTCAAATTATTGTTAGGTTAAAAGCTAAAAACTTTAAGTCATAGTTCCAAAGCATTAAAAGCTTGGACTTAACTTGCTTTATTTGACAGTTGTCAATTTTGGGTAGGCAGCAAATGTAGAACGCAACTTCTATATGAAAATATTTAGAACTTGCAATATTTTCAGTAGAGCGGGCCATAATCATTTTTCAAGAAATATTATATTCATAGTAATATTAGAATACATATGTATTTAAATACTATACAAAATTGTTATTCCAAATAATCTTTAAAAACTACATGTATCCATTTCTAATAGAACATAAGTAATACTAAAGTATTATGTCTGAAATCCCATATATATTTCAAATTATTTATATATATTTAACATATATAGATAACGAATATCTTATATATGTAAGCAAAAGGCTAGAAGGTATTTTTTTAATTAAAATTGCAATTGGGTTTCTTTCCAATATATTCAACAAAATAATCCCGAAAACCTCGACTCAGGACACATAAATATATTCATTTTTATGTTTTAAAGTTTTATATTTAACAGAAAATGTTATAAAACATTTTTGTATTTTCTACTTCTCTTAATTTTCTTATTTTTTTTAATTGTTTTTTTTTCGTTATGATCGGAAAGAGCATTCGGAAAACTTGAGTGCATTTGTCCCCCTTTGGCATTGTTGGGTGCTGTGTGTAAAATTGTATGCAAACGCCAAAACTGAAAAGTACCCGGGACTGAGGCTGTGGCGCGCCCCAGCAAACGGCACAAACTCAATGCAAACAAACATTCGAATCAACCGTTACACACATGCACACGAAGAGACAGACACACACGCAGGCACATGCACAGACACACGTACACGCACACTGACGCACACATTGTGCTGGCAATTTGCAGCGTTTAATTGATGGGGCCGCAGCAAAAACAATGCAATTGCGGTTCCCATTGAATTGAGCAACTGGGTAAGGGGGTAAAGGGGGTGAGAGAGAGTGGGTTGCGCTCTTTACACTTACCATATCTTCCTCATCCTCACAACAGTTGACATCTTGGAGCTGCTCACGCCACGCCAGCACCGAGGTGGATACGAGCAGGCGGGCGCTGGAACGTACGCGCAGCTTGCGGCCGGCGCGTGCAGCGACGCCGCGTTTGCTGCTCGCTGCCGCTGCGAGAACGGCCAGAGCCCAATCTTCTTTCAATGGATGCGGTATACGATCCGGCAGATCCTCGCTTTCAGCCTCGCAGCTGCAGCCGCTGTCATCATTGCTGGGCGACAAAGCTGCCAATACAGCTGAAGTCGCAGTTGCAGTCGCTGTTAACGCTGACGCTGACGCTGACGCTATTGGCGGCGGCGGCGCCGGGCGTCGTATGCGCGTCATGAAGCGCTGGTGTATCTGCGAGCGCTGATAGTCGTAAAAGATGGCGCTATATTTCTGCGGCTCCTTGAGACTGTAGAAGATGCAAATGTTGCGCAGCAGCGGATGCGTCAGCGTAGACGTCGACGTCGCAACATTCAGCTCTCTGCCGCTGTCAATGCTGCTGCTGCCGGCGCTGCTTATGGAGCCAAGCGTTGCCGTACTATTGGTCACTGTGCTGCCCACGCTAAGCGTCTCTGCGCGCTGCTCCCGCTGCTGCTGCCGCTGCTGCTGTTCGTCCGCCTTAGCAAACATGAACTCATCGTCCGTCTCCCAGGCGCCCTGATCCATGGACGCCGTTGGCGACGGCAGCGGCGACGCTGTTGGCGACGCTGTTGGCGTCGCCTGCTTAGTCAGCTTGTGACGTGCGCCGGCAGCAAATGCTGCGGCTGCTTGCAGAGTTAACGTTTCGATGTCGTCGTCGACGTCTGCGTCATCATCGCTGCCCGCATCGGGCGCTGCGATGATCTCAAAGTCTTCATCATTGGCGTCTGGCACTGGCTCCAGAGTTTTAAATTGCCATATGGTCTGATAAATGGACTCCTCCTCCTCCTCCTCATCCTCCTCCACCGTCACCTCTTGTTCATGCTCTTGCTCATCCTCTTTCTTCTCCCCAGCTGACTCTTCCAGCGCATCGTGGTTGATGTTGTTGTTGTTGTTGTTGTTGTTGTTGTTGTTGTAATTGTTGCCATTCTCATTGTCAATCTCATTTCGTGGCTTCGTAAGCGACGTGCTGGGATTACGCACCGGCACCTGAGGGGCGGGACGTCGCACTTTTATCACACAATTCTACAAATATTTCAAGAGAAACCCAAAAAAAAGAAAAAAACAAAAAAAACTTTGTTGTCACAGCCGCACATTCCGAAGACACAGATTTATATGGACCACAACATATCCATAGATATCCAACAATTTGGGCTCGCTCACAATAAAAAAAAAAGAAGGAATTCTCTGGATTTGCACTTCACAACATATAAATTACTCCAACTAGAACTTTTAGCATTCCAGCTAGAATTTTAAAACCTCGTTATGTTAATATTTACTCGTTTGTTTTTGCAGATGAGCAGAAAGAGAGTTTAACGAGTGCCCTTTGCGCAAACTCCTGTTCGAACTATCTACACCCAATAGCCAGTTTTCTGTTATTTTATTTTGCACAATTTCATGGGCACTCGTTACCAATACTCGTTACCAATAACTACTATGATTATATATGAAAAAAAATATTTGTTAAGTGATCCTACTAGCAATCTATAAGTAACTCTTGAAATTCTTCCTATCTAATGTTCTCTATATACACCCGCTATTTGTATTATTTCTTTTTCCTTTTTCATTTTCCAACTTGCTCATATACGATTCTTATTCCTTGTTTCTTATCACTACTCGCTGCATTATTATTAGAAAAAAAGAAAGAAAGAGCTTTCAAACTAAACTCGTTACTTTAAATAGTTACTTTTTCGATCGTAGGTATTATTTGCATGCATAAGTTCAATTTAAAACACCTTGCAAAATTGTTTACCTTTATCACCATCAATCTAATCTTTAACATGCGACACTAAAAAAAGTATATTATTAAATCGTTTACTCGTTACATGCGATTACAAAACGAGTACGCGTGATTACTCGTTACATAGTAACTATACTATACTGTTCCATACTTTACTATACGATACTATTCCATACTATACTATTCCATACTATACTATACTATGCTATACTATTTTATACTATGCTAAAGGATTTGTTTTTTTATATTGATTGATGAACTTTGATAGTGCAATTATTTAAAAAAAAATAGTTTCTGTATTTAGTTCAATGATGTAACTTTTTGAAAGACAACTAAATTTGAATTTTTATATAGAAAAATATGCGTTTAAAATATATAACATATATGTATGTATGTACATATGCATATGTATACATGCATGCATTTATTTTACAAAATGAATACATTCGTTTTTCATCTAACGATCTTCATAATAACTTTATACTTTACTCGAAGTCTTGCATTTAGAATAAGCTTCCAACTAAACGAGCCCAAAATGTATTTAAAAAAGAACAAAAATTGCATTAGAAATATACATACATATGTGCATATATATAACATATACAAATATACATGCAAACATATTTATATGCATATGTACATACTTGGAAGTTTATTCTCGTATATACATACAGATGTATATATGTACATATATATATGTTTGAAAGTTTACTCATACGAATTTATTCATAAATGCATATTTACATACATATATACGTATGTATGTATGTATGTTATGCATGCATATTTATATATATTCATTTAATATTTATTTTTACGCTTCTAACTTTGTATTTATTATATTTTTTTAATTTATTTTAATTTATCTAACGATCTTTTGTAGTGTCTAATATTATTTATATACCTTCCTTGTTTAATAATATACATACATATATAAATAAATAAAAAAAACCTTGTTTTTATTTTTACACACACTTAAAAAAAAAAAACAACTGTGTACTTTGGGGTTTCTTTTTGGGTTTTGCTTCGTTTGTTTTTTTTTTCTATTTGCTATTTGCTACACTTTGCAGCTCGTTGCCAGCTCACTCACTCTTACAGTCTTTCGCTTTCTACTCTCTTTCACTCTGCCTCCCTCTCGCGCTGCCTGTCGCGCTCGCTCGCTCACTCGCACTCACAACTACCGTTGTATGTTTTTTTTTTATATATTAATTTACGCCTCAATTGCGGCTGGCAGTGAGCCCAAATTGTTGGTGTTGCTGTTGTCGCTCGTTATATGTATTTTATTTTTATAATTTTGTTGTAATTTGTAATTTGTTGTAAATCTGTTTGCTTGGAATGGCTATTGACCTGTGTTATTGTTTGTTGCAGTTGTTGTTGTTGCTGACTGACATTGTCATGCTCCTTGTTATTGTTGTTGTTGTTACAATTGGTATTGTTTTCACTGTCGTCGCAGCTGGAGCGCTCAGCGTCGCCGCTTTGCTTGGGTGCCGCCATCAGCGCGCTGCTACTAACGCTGCCGACAACGACGCCGCTGCTGCTGCTACTGCTGGTGCCACACACCGATCGCGTTTGTGTCTCGCTCTCGTTCTCACGCACGCACGCGCTCACGTTCACGATCTCGCTCTCGCTCTTGCTCTGCTCAATTGTATCGCTAACGCTGCCGACACGCCATGCGACCGCTACGTCGTCACTCGCTGGCGTCGCTGGCACAACTGGCAGCTCCAATGACGGCGGCCCCAATAGGCGTCGCCGTTGCCGTTGCCGCAACGCTGACTCACGCTCAGCGCTGCTGCTGCTGCTGTCGCTCTCGCAGAGCCGTCGATAGCGTCGCAGCCAGCGCTCAATGCCGACGCTGCGCAGTCGCTGTCGACGCTGGCTGCTATGCAAAAAGGCGCTTAGTAGTTTGTCATAGCCAAAGAAGCAAATGACGCTGCCGTGCAGACTGGCCGCAAGCGCAGCGCTCTGCCACAGCTGAGGCAGCGAAAGACGCCCAGCGAGCAGCGCTGCCGCTGCTGTTGTTGTGGCCGTTGCTGCCTGCGTCGGCGCAGGCGTAACTGTTAATTCAAACGTTTCGGCTGGCGTTGCATTCTCACTGACCGCCAAACCGCTGAGAAATTCGCAAACAAAGGCCGCGTCGTGTCGCTCATTGATGCCGCAGCGACGTCGACGTTGATCGTTAAGCAGCGCTTTGCATTGCGGCGCCAATTGGGCTTCCAATTGGTCGTCTAATTGGAAATGCGGCTGCTGTTCGCGCTTGGCCAGCAGCTTGCGCTTAAAATCGTTAACCAAACGCTGCTGCAGCGCTGGCTCTGCTGCTAATGCTGCTGCCTCCGCTGCTGCCTCGTTGCGTCGCAGCATGACCGAATCTGCCTCTTGCTCCCGTTCCCGCTCTCGCTCGTAGGCCGGCGGCACGCTCTTCGGCTGCTGACAGCCGACGCCTCCGTTGGCATCCTCGTAGCTGTGCAGCTCGCGCCGCAGCGCGTTCATCCACTGGCAAATGCTTTCATTCAAATAGAGCGCCGACGTTGACGCCGCTGCTGGCGTCGACGCTGCTGCCTGGCAGCTCGGCTGCTGTTCATCTTGACGGAGCAGGCGCATGCGCGAAATGCGCGGCTTTTTGCGTGCCAGATCCGTTACACTCTCCTCCTCTGGCTGCGGCTGTGGTTCCGGCTTCGGCGGAGTCTCTGGCTCCGGCTCTCGTTCGGCCCGCAGCCTGCCGTAGATATGCTGATCGCTGCGACTGCACTGCAGCTGACGCTTCAGCTCGCAGATGCGCTGCATATCGAACGTTTCCTGCGTGCGAAAAACCTCGTCCACATTGTGAATGATCTCCAGGGAGCCGCCGCTGCCGACGCCGGCCTTGGCAGCGCCGCCCTCCCTTTGGAACAGGCGACGCTGCAGCGAGCCGGAGCGATTCAATTGCTTCAGCGAGCCAAAGAGACGCGTCAGCGTCGCTGCGCTCGACTTCGAGTAGTTTAGCAAAGTCCGCGATTTGCCAGCCTTGCCAGAGGCAGCGGCCGAGGCAGAGGCTTGCGGCGGCAGCGAAAGCAGCGGTGGTGGCGTTGACGTTGGCAACTGGGGCGTCTCGTTAATTAGAGCTGATGTGGGCGTGGCACTTGTTGCACACTCACATTGTTCGCTGTCGCTGTAGATGCCGCGGCAGAGCTCGCAAATGTTCTCATATATATTGCACTCGCTACTGTTGGTTGGCGACGTTGGCTGCGGCTGCGGCTGCTGTTGCAGCGCTGCGACGACGCTGCCGCTGACAATGCACTGGCAGAAGTGACAGTAGCGACCTTGGGCTGCAAAGACGCCATAGCCGCAGCCGCGACAAAGATTTTCGTAGATCACCTCGCGGCGAAAGTATTTGCGCAGCTGCTGCGACGTTGCCGACACTGGCAGATTCTCATAGATATGCTGCTGCTGTTGGCGACTGCGCTTGCTGCGCAGCTGCGTGTATGTCGCCTCGTTCTGATTGGAAATGTGCTGCTTGTTGTTGTTGTCGCTGATTTCGCTGCTGTTGCGTTTACTGCTTTTCATTTCCACTTGTTGCGGCATTTCGTTTTGCTTTGTCGGTTCGTTTACTCGCCGTCTCTCACTCTCCTTTTCTCTCTCTATCTTTCGCTCATTCACTATCACACGCGTTTATCGCACTGTTTGTTATTATTATATTGCTGCATCATCGTTTATTATGTTATTTTTTGTTTTAAACAACGGCCACAGAATCAAAAACACAACAAATACCAGAAACAAAAAATAAAACAGTTTTCATTTCATTTCATTTCAATTCATTTTATCTGTTATGCGCTTTTAATTGATGCAAGCCAACTGTCAAATAGTCGCTCGCTCTTTATGTCGTTTTGCACTTGCTCTCTCCCTTGCACACATGCGCGCACGCGCTGTTATCTTTGTGACCCTTTCCTCCTGCACGCACACACACACACACACACACACACATAAGTGCATAGACTATATTAGTGTCGCTGCACTCTGCACTTACACATGTACATACATACACATGTACATACATACACATGCACATACATACATAATAACTTAGCCGCTGCCGTCGCTGTCGCTGCCGCTGCTCAACAATTCTGATGCAGGCTCTCTGCGCTTAACCCTTAAGCTGTTGCACGCGGTTAAAGCGACCTCAGCGTACATTTGAATTATAGAAATTTATAATTTAGATAATGTCAACGGCTTTTAATAGATGATGATAGAGAAGTAAAACAAAAAGCAAAATAATCATAATCATAATAAAACTAACATAGATAAAATTTACCAAAATTCCAAATAATTCAATTAAGCAATATGATTATTTTATAAAGCATAAAAATAAATATTCATTAATAATTATTGTTATTTTTTATTCCACTAGCAATTGCCTAAGGTCGAGTTCTAGTTCTCTCGCAAAAAAACGAGCCCTAGAATTTTTTGCAGTGCTGCCATCTCATTAATATTTACAAGCTGGCAACACTGGCAGCAGACAAATTAACTGCTAGCTAAGTTGAAGAATTGGGTGTCAATTTTGACATGCATTCATTTTAATATTTTTAATTTATATTTAGTTATAGTATATTTGGCCCACATAAGTGTTAAAGTGAACAACTGCTGCTGCTTCTGGAGACACGCTGAGTACGCCTTGTGTTACATACTTGAGCTGTTTGCTTGAGCGATGACTCAGAGCGGGGCAGCAAAGCATGTCGAGATGTCGCCCCCAAATGGCTTGGCCAACGGGTCCCGGGTTAGAGGGGCCTGCCGGGGCGTCACTCAAATTAAATGCCCCGACAGTGCGCAACAGCGCGGCGACCCTTGAGCTAAACGCCAAGACTGAGACACTGAGACACTGAGCAACTGAGAAATTGAGAAACTGTGAAACTGGTTAACGCTGACGTTGCGTAAGCGGCCGCTGGACTTGCCCTCGGCCTCACCTACGCGTCGTAGGTGCCGCCGTTCTAGGGCAATGGAATGTGGACTACCTGTCAGGTGCTTGGGACATAGCCAAGGTGGATAAACAACTGTTTCGATCGATGCAAAGTCAATTGTTACATAGTGAGAAAAAATGTGGCATATAAATGTGGAAAAGATTTATGTAGTTACATTATTATTATCAATCATCTATCAATCAATCATCAATCAATCAATGAATCAATAAGTAATCAATCTATCAATCATATGCCAGTCAATCATCTGACAATCATCAATAATTTATCAATCATGAATTGATCCATCAATTATATACATACATATCAATAACCAGTCAAACAGTCAATTATCTATCAATCATCAATAAATCATGAATCAGTCATTCATCAATCTATCAATCATTTGTCAATCAGTCATCTATTAATCATCATTAATTTTTCAATCATGAAACAATCCATCAATCATCGATCAATTAATCAATCAAACAATCAAGCATCAATCACTGGTTCACGAATCTATCAATCAATAATTCAATCAATCGTTCAGTCAATCAATCATCAATCATTAACGTGCTTTCATCTGAATTTCCCTAGCATTCTTTGCGAGGGTATCAGATATGGGTCTCATGAAATTGAATTTTCCCTTAAAGACTGCGCTAGAAATCCCCATTCAGCCCCTCACCCCGCAAGTCCTCAGACTATGAATAATAATGCCAGTTCTAACGAAGGCTCTGTGAGTTGTTTTTTAGATAAGCGAATTATTTGCCAGCAAACAGAACTTCAATTTCTGGATCGAAGTAGAGAAATAGGGCATTCCATTATGTATACATATATAGATGTAGATATATCGGAAAGATTTCTGATGTGAGGCTTAAATATATATACACATATATACTATGCTGCTTTCGCCTTAGTCAAATCAGAGAAACATTATGTAACATATATATATATTTCTGTTACATCTGAATCAATCAGGCTTACAATAACAGGAATATCAATAAGTTTTCACAATAAAGAAATATTATTTTATATATTTTCTTTCAACAAAGCAACTGGAAATTGCACTATCAATTTATACCCACTTAACATGGTTATAAAAATTGTGCACATAAAGTTTGGCATTGTATTGTGAACTTTTGAACTTGCATACTTTTAGGCAGCGGCGGCGGGTCAAGCGCGACTCGAACCTTTAAAATTGAAAGCCCAGGCTCGACGACTCTTTGAATGGCACTTAACATATACATATATATGTATGTATATATAGAGATATCTGTGTGATAGGCTCTTTGAGCCTAGAAGCAAGTAACGCTTATCTCGCAGAACCCAAGCCAATTGACCTCGTTCTGCTAGCGAGAGAGAAAGAGCGAGAGAGAGAGAGAGGGAGAGAGAGACTTGGGAGACTTGAGCGTATCATGAATGGAAATTAAAACAATTGAATTGACTATAAAAGTGAATCATCCAACATATTTGAATACGTGTTTGAATGTTCACAATATATTCACATGTAAAACGGGGCTTGGCTTCTATATACATATTTCTATATATATATATACATGTGTATACGTATGCATATGTACATATATATATGTATTTATATAGATCTGTTGCGTTTCGCTTGATTTCCACATAAAGCTCTCCGATCAATTGCGGCAGCTCAGCCAAAATATATATATATATATACATATATCAAGAGAATATATACACGTGAACAATCATGCGATTTACTGCAATTGCGAATGAAATGAAAACTTTTTAATTTGTTTTTTTCACTAAACCTCATTTATGCACAACAAAAATAATAACAAAAAAAAAAACCGAAAAAAAAATCAAGTTGTTTTTGCTTCTGATAAGCGCAGAGCTCGGCGGAAAACGAATATGAAAACGAAATTGATTTCAAATTGGAATGCCACTGTATTCCAATTAGATTTTCCGTTGTACCGGTACCGTTGCCGGTCTTATAAGTCCAGCTGCGAGCGCGACGCGTTCGCGAATTTAACACAATATCAACTAAAATTGAAGTCAAGATGCCGCCGCGCATTTTCTTGGGTGGCGGTCGCTGTCGCTGTCGGCGCCGACGCCGGCGTTGACGGCAACGCCGAAGCCGACGTCGACCCGGTCACCCAGCGGACGGCGCGGACGCTGCAAACACCACACAACAAAATCAACAAAAAAAAAAACATTTAATTATATTAAATTATTATTTTTAACAAGGATTTTATTTTCGGATGGGGCCTGGATTGGATAAAAGAAGCGAGAGCAAATCCGAACTTACGCTTGGATAAGGACTAACCTTTTAATCCTCAATGGAATTTCGGAAAACTTATATAAACGCATTTAAAAAATAATTTGTCGAAATCTATTAAAGTATTAAATAGGGTTTAACTAACTTCAAATGTAAATTGCTGAGTCAACCAAAATTCTTATAAAGATAAGAAGAAAAAAAACTTCAAATTAGTTGGATGTAAAATATGTCTTAAAAAAATGCAATCAAAAAAATCAAAATCAAAAAAAATATCGTATAAAATGAAATAAAGGAAAATACATTTTAAAAAGTTAAAAAAATCTTTAAATTAGGTAGAAGTACATGAATTCAAAAAATAAAAAAAGAATAAAAACAAAATTAAAAGCAAATAAGAAACATATCAAATGTGTTTAAAGCATCGTATAAAAAAAAACTGGAAACAATAGAAAATAAATTTCAATAAGCTAACAAAATCCCAAAATTAATTAAAAGTATATGACTTGCGCAAAGAAAAAACACAAAAAATTAAAAGATAATTAAATCGATTATTAATATATAAAAATATTTTAACAAATTGAAAATCAAATAGAGAAAATATATATATATATATATATATATAAACGTGCATGCGTATATAAATATGTATATGCACTTGGAAAATAAGTTTTTGTTGCCTAGTGTAAGCAGCAGATCCACATTGGGGAGGCACAACTCAAAAGCCAAATGTGTGTAATGTACATGGACAACATGTGTCTGTCTGCGCGTTTGTGTGTGTGTGTGTGTGTGGCATGAGGTGGGGGTGGGGTGTGGCAGCGACAAAGACGCTTTTTATGCTCAACGCCGGTTGCCTAATTAAGCATAACACAACTGCGGGCGATTGGGTGTGGACAGCAACTGGGCTAGGCCTAGGGCGAGGGCGAGGGGCGGCGCCCGGAAAAGGGTTGAAAACTGCAGCTTAACCGCATAGATCCAGCTATCAACACCTGCGGCAAACAGAAGCCAAGATCGAAGTCAATTCGCAACATAATTGCGTGGATGCGACAACGGCGGGGGCGGGGGGCAGGGGTCTGGGCGGCGGCAACATCTGGACATGTGGGCTGTCCAAAGATCGGGTCGAATAAAGTAGAAGTTTATAACTGGAACGCTGCACAAATAAACAGCAGCAGAACCTGCACATTAAATGCAGCTGCATGACAACAACAGCAACAACAACAACTAGCAACAACAACATGCAACACATGCCTCATATGTGAATGCAGGGTAGCTGGAGGCTGGCAACGGGCAACTGGGCGCACACGAACCGCATGAAGAATCGCGACGGCATCGCGGCCGCTTGATCTTTGAACTAAATTAATTAAGCACAATGAACGCAATTGTTGCTCTTGTTGCTCCTGTTGTTGTTGTTGTTGTTGTTGTTGTTGTTGTTGTTGTTGTTGTACATGTACATGTTCCTGATGTTGTTGCTGTTCTTATTGGCAGCAGCGCGTCAGCAGCGCGTCAGCTGCGCCGCAGCAGCGCCGCCTGCGCCCTAAGCAAATGTATCCAGCAGAAACAGCAGCAGCAGCAAATACCCTTTGCAAGGGTCTTACACTTCTATCAACAAATATGTAACGCATAGTATATTAAATAATCTCTTAAATAATGCATCGCTAATATCTTAAAAAACTTATTTAATAACATACTAAAATATCAAGTCTGCGATTTTCCCGATCCTCAAACTGGTTCCTCAAACGAACCTTTTTTGTGCACGAAATCAATTTGCAAATATAGCAAAATTTGTTCATCTTTAAACTAGTTGACGAAGCAATTGCCAAGCCAGGGCAATGCTTCGAACTCTGAACCGATCTAACGCAAATATTGAGGCCAGGCAACGACTTGAACCGTCAAGTGAACCGGTGCAAACGTTTGCTGTTTACTGGTTCACAGCCTTGTTTCAACATTTAGGAATTCGCTGAAAGCAGTGTATATGCGCGTCGGTGTTGACCAAATAGCTGCACATAGCGAGCTTAGAAACAAGCGTACAAAATATAGAAGTAAAAACCATATAGAAAAAGTATAGATATATAGATATATAGATATATAGATATATAGATATATAGGTATATAGATATATAGATATATAGATATGCAGATATATAGATATATAGATATATAGATATATAGATATATAGATATATAGATATATAGATATATAGATATATAGATATATAGATATATAGATATATAGGTATATGGATATATAGATAAAAATATATAAACAAGTTAAAATATATATATATCCATATTTATATAGTAAGGAGAACAACGAACCTTGTTTCGCTCACCTTAAGCTAGTTTTTTTATGACAATTTTCAATAAAAAAAATGCAATCTATATAAAATTCAATCAATTGTATTATCATAGTTTCGTTTATACAAATCAGATTATTTTTTATTTTCAAGGCAAATAATATTTCCATATATATATGAAAAACATTTGGTTTTGAGTTGAACCAGTGACTTTTTTAAATATGGTGCGAATCAGGACTATACAAAATTAGAATTTTGGGTGAATTTCAAGTAATTGTGTTCACATTTGAGCACGAGTGCTTCTTGTTGCAGCTATACCCTAACTGTGCTCAGGGTATGCTCAGCGAAATCAAATAGCATGCTACAATATATTTTTTTTTTCGATTTTTTTTATATTTTTTCTTATAGCATAGCTCCAATATAGTATAAAACTTAAAATTTTGTTAAACAATTGATTGTACACACACATAACCTAACAAATTTGGAGACCTTGGCCGAAAATGGGGGATTTCTAATACAAAAATGATCACGCTTCATAATTTGGGGGTCTTGTGTAGAATTTGTAGAGCTTTTCACCTATGTAATATATACACATATATATATATATAAAAAATATATATATATATATGTATGCTAAACTGGAAGTCGAAACATTGATAGCCGAGTATGCGTTTTGTTCTTGACTTAAATGGGTGCAATTGGGTTCTAGACGAATATTTAAGCTACAATTGAAGCACAGGGCAAAAGGGGTGGGGTCGGTGTATTTGGTGTGTAGTGTGGCATATATACAGGGATATATATAAAGATATATATATATATATATATATGTACGTATGTATGTTGGATATGGCAAAGTGGGTTAGTTAACCGAATGCCACCGAGCATATCCAAGGGAATTACTAAGCGTATGCCACATATACGAGATGTGTGTGTGAGAGTGTGTGTGTGAGAGTGTGTGTGTGAGTGTGTGTGTGTGAGTGTGTGTGTGTGAGAGTGTGTGTGTGTGAGAGTGTGTGTGTGTGAGAGTGTGTGTGTGAGAGTGTGTGTGTAAGAGTGTGTGTGTGAGAGTGTGTGTGTGAGAGTGTGTGTGTGAGAGTGTGTGTGTGAGAGTGTGTGTGTGAGAGTGTGTGTGTGAGAGTGTGTGTGTGAGAGTGTGTGTGTGAGAGTGTGTGTGTGAGAGTGTGTGTGTGAGAGTGTGTGTGTGAGAGTGTGTGTGTGAGTGTGTGTGACTGTATGTGAGTGTATGTAAGGGTTTGCATGCCTATAAGTATGCCTGTATGTGTGTGTGTGTGTGTGTGTGTGTGTGTGTGTGTGTGTGTGTGTGTGTGTGTGTGTGTGTGTGTGTGAGTGTGTGTGAGTGTGTGTGTGTGCATATCTGTGTGTCTATCTGTTTGTCTGTATTGCTTCAATATCTGCGGTATCTTCAGTCTATTCTGTCTATATATCTGTTTGATTTGCCCCCGATTGCGCCTAAATATTCTAACCTCACTTGACAAACACATATATATATATATATATATATACATACAGACATATATATATACATATATAACGACACAGTTGCGCAGCTGCTGTTGGTTTCTTATTGTAGTGTATGTTTTCTTCGTTGTTAGTCGCTCATCTTGAAGTGTTCGCCGTTTATTCTGGCATGGGTATTATGTCTGCTTCTTCTTCTTCATCTTCATCATCATCTTCTTCTGTTTGTTTCATTTACTTCCATTTTGTTGAATCCAGTTGTTGGTTTTGTATTGCACGAGGAGTAGCTGCAGGGATTTAGTTACAGTTGCCAATTAAGTGCATTTACTTAATTCCAATCGCAATTACTTCAGTAATTTTGGAGACAGCCGCGAAATAATCATTCCGAAAGAGCCTCAGCATTAACTTTTCGGCCGATTCTGCCTATGGCTGCTTTATGATATAGTTATCCGACGATAAAAAAGAATTTACTGATATAAAACAAAAGCTAAGAGCTTAATTCTCGACCAAAATAGCAGCTAAATGATATAGTAGTTCGATCTGGCTAATAGAAAGATGAATCTATGCAGTGAGAGTAGACAGACGGAGGGAGAAACTGACCTGACTATATCAACGCGACTGTTCAGGAATATATAGATATATATATCCGTATATGTAACTTAGATGGCTTCTTTGCTGAAGATTAACTGATCATACAACATAAGCGAAAAGAATTTGCCAATTAAAATCAAATTTCTGAAGTAATTGCAATGACTTTCGTAATTACTTGCGAGTAATTACTTGCAATTACTGAAATGTAAATATAGAAAAGATATGTATATATATATGTGCCCTAGGCTGTCTGTTGGATTAGTGAAGTAATCGTTGGAATTGGGAATTAAGATATTTACAGATCTAGCATGCACGCCACATTTGACTAGGATGAGCGCCAGCTGCTGCTGTTGGTCCCATCAAACTCCCAGGCGGTCTGCTGCGGTATCGATGTCTGCGAATTGGATGCCTGCGGATCCTGATAATAGTTCTGGGGCCAAACGGCTGGCACATTAACCGGCACACTATAGTATTGGTAGACTGGCTGGTATTGGACGCCGGCCGGCGCCTGCTGATATATGGTGGGCATGGCGGCGGTAGTGTATTCGGCAACTGGGGCAGCCGGTCCATATGTGGCGGTGGCATATTGCTCGATGGGTATTGTGTTGACCGTCGGCGGCGGCGGTGGCGGCGCCTGTGTGGTAAAGTACACGGTGCCGTTTGTCTCGATGATCGGCTGCAACTTGGGCCGAATCGGTTGCTTCTTGAAGGCCGGCGCAATGTTCAGGCGGCGATTGCGCAAGATGACGCATTTGCCAACCGACTGGAGGCGCTGCGCCTCCTCGTCTGTCTCGAAGGTGACGAAGCCGTAGCCCTTGTTGAAGCCATCCTGATCGACAATAATCTTGGTGCTGCGCACCGTCCCATACGCACTGAACGCGATCATCAGATCCGATTCGGTTGTGTCGCGACTAATGCCGCCAACAAAGACGCGATTCGGTATCACAGTGCCGTAGATGGGCTCCGCCGGTGGCGTCTCCACGGCCACGGCGGGCATCGCCACAGCTGGCTGCGATGCCTGTGCGGTTGCCAGGGTCAGTTTCGGTGCAACCGGTCCAGCCGTCGACTGTTGCAGCTGTGTCGATGTCATCCTCTGATGATAGTTAATACCAAATGGCTGAATCTTGAGGCTGCTTGCGATTATTTGTGGATTCAAGCCAAAATTTGTGGCTTCGGGATAGTTTTGGGTTTGCCACACAATTGAGCCCGTTTTTGCACTTTAGTTTTTCTATTTGTTTCGCTTACCGCTTGCAATTAACAAGATCCTCTGCTAGCTTATACATATATCAGTACAACAATATACCGCGATGATTCTCAATTGAATTACGGGTGGGTGGGGGTTCGGGGTAGTTAGGGAGGGATCGCTTGGTGGGTGGCAGGGGCTAGGGGTGGTATTTGGGGGGAGGGGGGGTTAACAACGTCCAATGATTCCGTCTCCCTTCTCGCTTTGGCGATCGATGATGAACTTCTTAATTGGGCGTCTTTTATACCTTTTTCTACTTATTATAACGGTTAGCTAGTTAACTATCTTTCAAACGAGTTTCAAAAAATCGAGAATTTCAAAAATTGAGAATTTCCAAAATACCTCATTTGTTAAAATACAAATTTGAAATGAATATCATAACACCTGACCTTAAAGCAAATGCGACAATGATGTTTACAAAACACACACACACCCACACACACACACACACACACACACACATAGACATACATACATATGTGTCTGGATTTATAAAGTTCAAGACACTTTGATTTCATTTTGGGGAGGAAGGGGCAGGACTGTCAAGGGGCTTTCGCTAAGAAATTAAGCAATTTTCAGAAAAAGTCATTGTCAAAAAACGTATATATATAAGAAGAAGAAGATACATATATATTAAATAGTTCAAGATACTTTGTTTTCACTTTTTCTCTTCAATTCTTTCAACTTTAAAAATGGCCGCACAAATGAAGAAAATATCAAAAAAATTCTTTAAAAGAAATCAAAGTATGTATGTATAAGAAGAAGAAGAAAAAGAATATATATATACATATTAAGTTCAAGATACTTTATTTTCATATGGAACAGGAGGGGGGCGACTGTCAAGGGGTTTCCCTTTAATTCTTTCCATTTTCAAAATGGCAAATGATGGAATTTTTAGAAAAAGTCATTGAAAAAATAATATATATATATATATATATATATATATACTTTCAAGGTGCTTTTCCTTTGATAAAGAATAAAGAAAGGCGCGCAACATTTTCTATACGAAACCCTTACCCTATACACTCACTCGGAAAGCGTATTCCACATTCGATTTCGAGACGTTAAAGAAAAACTTATATAAAAATTAATTTATTTTTTGCTCTCAATTTCCGTTGTTTCTGCGGGTCGTACAGCAAAAGGGCTGTCTCCGGGGTACCCAGTAAATCCAAGTACCAGATATGCCTGCTAAACGAAGCTGACTGCGACACGAAGTCGCGGTCGCGGTCGCCGTCGCAGTCGCTGCTTTGCAATTGCGCTGCAAGAGGCCAATAAGAATGTCATTTGGACATGATTATGATTATGATTGTTGTGCCTCGCTTCTTTAATGAATTTTATTAAGCGCAACAGCAGCCACCACCAAGCGACCCACAGCCAGTTGTGGCAGTTGCAAGAAGTCTGATTGGAGTTGCCAGTTGGGAGTTGTGTGGAAGCGAGACAGCCGCGTGGCAGCTTCGCTTTGTCAGTGCCTCAAAATAAACAGAAATCATCATCATTTTTTCATTTTCTAGATGACAGCCAGTTTTTAATGAGTCGATGACTCATCGCAGCACGAGCAGAGAATCAGTAAAAGTCCAAGAAATCGCTCTGGCCAATGTCTGATAAGAACTCAACGTAACTGATAAAAGTTAACAGTGATCTTTGGAATTACTTAATGGCAATTCATGTGTGCTCAGTGGGTCACTTTTCGCTCAGCTAATCTCAGGCGGAAAATAACCTGAACCTGAGGATGCTGCAAGTGCCGAGGAGAGGCGAAAAGTTGTATATTTACAAATGAATCAACGAATATATCATCTTGCAATACAATAATGTAAAAGCTTATTCAAGAAGAAGACAGAGCTATAAGGAATGCATATATATGTATACCTATATACAATACTAGCGGGTATAACCCGGCCTTGCCCGTGGCACGTATGTTATAAAATCAATGCTTTCAAAAAGCTTTGAAAATGATTTTGAAACTGATCGGACGGGAATCAAACAACTTTTATGCAAATCGGACAAAACTTAAAATTCACCAAAAAAAATCTTTAAAATGCATTTTCCACCGAAGGAGTTGAAATTTTGCGAAAAATGTGAAGTACGTCTCAAATGATTTTTCTTATAGATCTTTGGAAATAAATTTGAACACAAAACTTCACCCACCAAATCTTTGACCCCCATTTCCACCAAAGAGGGAACGGATTTTTCGAAAAGTGTGAAACACCCCTCAAATGAATTTGAACAAAGATCTTCGAAAATAAGTTTGGGGCCGATCGGTTGGTAAACAAAAAAGTTACATACGTTTTTCGCGATTTTTCCACACTTGCGGGTGGAATTTCTCGAAACAGTGAAAATTTCAGCTTCCTAGCTCTTACGGTGTGGGCTGTGCGCTTATCACCAATCAGTCAGTCAGTCAGTCAGTCAGTCAGTCAGTCAGTCATTCAGTCAGTCAGGACAAACAGTTTTATATATAGAGATATACATTATTATATCGCATAATATATATATAAAAAAACCTAATAAAATATATATAGTAGATAATTGTTAATTACATTTTATATTATTATTATTTTATATTAAAAATATATTTTGCACGTTGTGAGGCCAATTTTGCTATATTATTGCTAATTCATTTCCATTATTTACGATTTTTTTTTTGGCTTCTTCTTTTGTCTCAAATTAAAAGTAAGTCAAGTAATTTTTTCATGGCATTATGAAATTTAATATATAAATTAAATGAATTTAATTGCTATTAAGAAGTTTGACTTAAAATTATAATATAAATGTGTATAAAATAAATAATTATAGATATTTATAGAGCCATGTGAATCACAGCAACAAAATAAATGTGAATATTGTGTATATTGAGCTTTTTCAACTTGCCACAAGAAATTCTTCAGAAGTACGCGATTCATATGCACACACACACACACACACACATGTATATATCTACATATGTACATATATACACACATATATGTATGTATAGTTCGGTGTGTGCAATGGCAGCTCAAGTGTCAATCAAGTGGCTACTTGTGTTGCATTAACAGAGATAATAAAAAAATTATAAAAAACAAAAGAGAAATTTGTGTGCAGCAAAAAGTGTCAAGCAAATCAGAGCGAGAAAATGAACTGCATAAATAAAGTCAAATGGAAATGGAAATGGAAATAATGCATAATGCACATGTGCCTATGTGTGTGTGTGTGTGTGTGTGTAATTGTGACGCTATGCAAACTGATGACAAAATTGCTTTACGCGCACGACTTTTCAAATTGCATTAACAGCGACTGCGACGGCGACGCTGACTGCGGCAGCGACGTCAACGAAGCTGATAAAGCTGCCGCTGCCGCTGCTGCTGCTGCGCTGTGCAATGCGTTTTTCTCAGATTTGCAATAAACTCTATCGCTGTGTACTTTACGCCATTTGCTGGAAAACAGCGCGCGGCGTTGTGGCAGCGATAGTTGCGGGCGGCAAAAAACGCATGCAAAACGCGTGCGCAGCACGTCGACTGCCAAACGCGATTAGTCACACAGCTGCCGCAAGCCCCAAAGTCAGCAAAACAAAGAGCAGCAACAGTTGCCGCAACAAGAAGAAGAAGAAGAAGAAGAAGAACAACAACAGCAACAACAAAAGCGAGCAGCAAAGCAAAACACGCAATGCGCAACATGCGCAATGCATTTTCATGTTGCATCAGTGCACAGCACATATGAGTGTGTGTGTGTGTGTGGCGGGCGCAGCGAGGGGGGTGGGGGGGATAGTTGGCGAGCGGGTGGTGCACACAATGCAAGCCACTGTGCGGTTGGGCGCTTCTTTGCAATCAATTTTTTTCTATTTTTATTTTTTATTTTTTTCCAACGATTACACATTTCCGAAATTTTGTTGATTTATTTGATTTAATTGCACGCGAACGTCATTTATCATATTACAACACTCATTTGCAGTGTTGACAAGTGCTTTTACATAATCAGCCTAATTATCTAGCGGAGGAGCGTATGTGCAAGCGAAATAAATAAATTAATTAAATATATAATAGTAATAATAATAATAATAATAATATGATTTCAATGAAAATAAGAATAATAATAATAAAAAAGTAAATTCAATAATAATAATAATAATAATAATAAAAAAATAGTAATAATAATATATTAATAATAATATTTTTACTAAGAATAATAATAATAACATTAATAAAAATATTAATAATAATATTATTAAGAAGAATAATAACAATAATAATAATGATAATCACCATGTTTAGTTATTTTAGATTTTAGGTACTTTTAATTAATCTCCTATCGCCAATAAACGAATTCTTATTATGATCGGAAAATTTTAGATATTAAAAAAACAATCAGTTTACTCAATGTTTTTATCTGCCATGACTTTTCGAACTCTTATACATTTCCGCATTTCCACGTTTCACTCTACCAAAATATCATATATCATCGTGCCATAAAATAGTTATCATCAGACTTATAGAGATTGGATTTCTTTTAAGATTTTTTTTTTTTTTAAATTAAAACTGTGTAAGAAGTGTAAGAATTAAAAGAACGAAACGATAATTTGGTTCTGTTTGGGAACCGTAACGCCTTTTATATCATATTTTGTATCTCCATAGTTCTTCAAATTCCGGAGATTCCCACAGTACAAAAGTTAATTTAAGCTCCGCTTTAAATTAAATTTGTTAACCGATGCCAAAAGCCATTGAGATCATTTGGAAAACACTTCAATTTGGGAACAATACCTCGCATTAACACGGAAACGTGTTTCGGTTTCACTTTCTCTCGACGACTATGCAAATTTGTCGGGCCCAACAACACGACAGCACGACTTATAAAGAGACAATAAAGACGAGTCGGAAAAGGCATGCAGTGAAATTTTCAATAGCCCTCAGAATGCTCAGCAAAACATATATCATATATCATATATCATCTGTATCTGAGTAAGATCAAGTATTCGCAGTTGAGAAGAAACAACAACAGACGACTTCCATATAACTTCTTCCTCTAATAGGAAAATGAGGAAATGAGAAAAATCTTCTTTTTGATGGACGTAACTAAAATAACATAAAGTTCCTATGCTTTCTACCACGCTCTTTAAGTTTGAAAACTGATTCATTTCATTGTAAGAATAGCCTGTAATAGATGGATGAGCTGTCATATGAACGAATCAAGGATCCAATTCCAATGCACAACTAAGTCCCCAAATCGAAGCCCAGAAAGGAACATGGATGTAAGTACAAGATGGCTATATAAGATTTGGTTGTTCGCATCCAAACCCAAGTTCGAACTAACCATATTTGACCATTTTTGATAACTTTAATTTTGGTATATTTGCCAAGAGTCTCATTTTTCATATCAAATGTAGTTTGGGAGAAAGAATAAA